TCATACATTTGAGGGAACTGCACCCCTTTTGCCAGAAGAAGCATCCGATCCGGATCTAAAATAACCATCCCACCAGCCGAATGCGACCCACTCCTAGTGGCACCATCCCACATGCACACCAACCGGGTCTCAACCACCGGAATTTCTGGCTGAACCGACGGACAGGTCACACGGGGCACCCGATCCGTTGGCAAGCCCACCAATTCCTCATACTGCTGGTGAAATTGCCGCAAGAGCGTCAGGATCCCAAACTGTTTGCCTTCAAAGACAACCCAATTACGAGACCGCCAGATCCACCAAAGGATGGCAACAACTGCCATAACCAACAACGGTTGATGGATCAGCGCCAGCAGACCTTTGAGGAATAAAGGAAAGGTGTGCCTAGGCAAACCCTCCCCCAAGTATTCTAGCCCTGAATAGTCCCAAAGAGCCCACGCAACCGGACAATACAGAAACAGATGTTCCATAGTCTCTGGACTATCCCAGCAAACTAGACACCGGGGTAGCACAGGAACCTTCTTCTCAATAAGCGCCTCCGTAGTGGGCAGAGCCCGATTCAGAATTTTGCCAGACAAAGACCTTAAGTTTTGGAGGGATCTTAGCTTCCCATACCCTGATCCAACTTGGCTTATCCATCCAACTAGCCGATGATCGCCACCCACCCCTTCTTCTATCCAAATCAACCGCCAAATGGTAGGCTGACTTTACTGAGAAAACCCCCCCATCTGCCGTGCCATGCCAGATAAGCTTATCAGCCACATTTCGCCGCGGGAGCGGAATAGCCTTAATGGCTCTGCAGGTAGGTGGGTCAAACCATAGACTAAGTTTATCATCAGCCCACTGCCCTTCCCCTTTACAAATAACCTCCGCCACCAAGGGATCACCTCCATCTGGCAAGACTGGTACCCAGGAATCCAGTTCGAGTGGAGAAGAGAGGCCGAACGGCCATTGCCAACCTGCCATCTTAACCCCGTCTCCAATAACTGTTACCCATAGAGGATACCCTGCCACCCCCAGGAAGGGCGTGACCTAGCCGTTGCACTCAGGAATGAACCTTGTGGGAAATACTTTCCTTTATAAACCTGGGCAAGGAGGGAATGGGGCTCATTAAGGATCGCCAGCCAATCTTAGCCAAAAGAGTTTGATTAAAATGCTCGAACTGGCGAAATTCCATTCACCCATCATGTTTACTCCTCCACATATTACACCAGGAAACCCAGCGAACCTTGGGATGGCCCTCTTCAGCACCCCACCGAAAACGGGCAACATGCCTATCTAGGAGTCGACAAAGAGAGAGGGAAAGCCGGAAACATGACATAACATGTAAGGGTAAGGCCAACGCTATGGATTTATAGAAGGCTTGTATTATTTCTTGAGATAGGAGAAATAGTACAGAAGTCAGCCAAAAGCTGAGAAACTAAAAAGATAGGTGGTTTAGAACTTTTGATTCCCACACTACGTTGAATTATAGTATAAGGGAGAAATTGTGAGAATATTACGAAAATTAGTATTTTATCTCTAAAATAAATTATATCGATTATGGTCTAGCCAATTATATTTTAAAGATGTAAGGAGACTTCAATTATATTTTCTAGACTTAGCCAAAGTATGTAGGAGTTTTCGAATCTACAAGGATGGAATTGATCGTTCATAGAGCTTTCCTTGACCAAATTTTACATGGACAAACCAACATAGGGATGACCCCTAGCATTGTAAGTTGGATTGAGTGATAGTTAACATTAGATGGTCTGACTTTAATTTGGTCCACCATTATCTTTGTTTTTATTTTGTAAGATGAACCGTGAAATGAGTGGAAAACCTTCAATATGAAGAACAGATTGGAGTCAAATTTCGATTTGACCCAAATAAATTTGTGTTGTGGCCCATGGATAAAAGGTAGTCAAATTTATTATCCTGATTCACGCCTTTGAACCAACAGCAACATTCCATCGCTAAGAATCACTATTGCATTACAGAGAACTTGGTTGACTTCTTAAGAGACTGGACAATTTTCCCCAGAAGCTGGGGAGACAAATGATAGGCGAAGAACCCAACTTCACGTTTCGACTGAGTAAACCTGCAAAATACATTGCAGCTATGGGGATCAAATCCATCTCAGAAACCCAGAAACAAATAAATCAAATCCCATTTGACGAAACGAAGAGAAACCCTGATCTATAAATACTCTGCAAATCTCTCTCAAACCCACCAAACCACTTCACTACTCTCCGTCACAAAACTTATACTTCCATTTTTTCACAGATGTATGTACATACCAACAGAGGAAATAAGATGAGTTGTAGCTCTAGAAGAAGTTGTGGAATGGCTACTTGACCACGACCACTGTGCCGAGGGATCCGGTTCAGATTTCAGAACTTGGATGAGAGAAACGAGAATCAGAACTCAGAAGTTTAGTAACCTGCAGCAAATACAGTGCACCCACGGAAACACGACGTTGGGATTTGGGATCATGTTCATGGCGCATTCACTCTAAACTCCCACGGAAAATAAGTCAAACCATTTAATGAAATGAAGAAAGCCCAATGCACATTTGCCTCAATAAATAGTAAATACTCACCCCATCTACGATATATCTCAATCCACCAAGCAATTTCACTCCTGTTCATTATAACTTATACTTTCCTTTTCCCCAGCTTGGATGTACGATTTCGCCAACAGAAAAGAGGATGAGTTGCTGCTGTAAAAGAGGATATACTACTGCAACTTCTAAGAAGGAGACCCCCACTGTGACCCCAAAGAAGGAGAATGTGAAAGCTGTAGAGACTGTCAAAGCTCCTGTCTCCATGGCTGCTGCTAGAGTTAAGCACGAGGAGAAAGCTGCTGGTGTTAAGCAGGAAGAGAAGGTTAAGGTAGGCTGGGGCAGCAAGACCTTCTTGTTCTTCTTAAGATGGTTAATCTAACATTTGGATTTCTTATCATGTTCTGTGTTGTATAGGGAAAAAGCTTCACCTTTATCAGTTCATGGAATAAAGAGTTCTCTTTTATATACTTACCAAGCTTCTGGTGACTGTTCATTTCGGATATACCAATGTGCTTTTAGGGGTAAGCAACAATTTGGACCAAACTAGGCAACATAGAACCGTATCAATATATGGATAAAAGTTTTGTATCGGACCAGTTAGGAGTATAATTCTATCTCCATTCCCATTTTCAAGTTGAAGAAGTTGCCGACTTCGATCCATGGAATTTCTAGAAATAATGTTAATAATGGATGAAACTGAAATCTGACTGGACCAAATGGAGGTGATATGAGAAAAGAAGAGCAAGAACAGTAGTACCATTTCATGCCGCATGGTTTGCTCATTCATTCATTCATTCATCCAATGGCGCTTAACCCAGATGATTTCCGAACACTTCTCTCCCTCATCATCTCCCTCACCTTCTCAACTTCATCCCACCTCTCTTCCTCGGCATATATATTGGACAACAGCACATAATTGCCAGAATTCCACGGCTCAATCTCGATGATTTCCTTCACCACAAGCTCAGCAATCCTCATCTCACCATGATTCCTACAAGCCCCGAGCAAGGCACCCCACAGTGGAGCAGCAGTTGGCCTCTGGTGGGGTGCCATGCTTCTGATAATATCATACGCTTCCCTTACACGCCCACTACGCCCTAGTAGATCAACCATGCACCCATAGTGCTCGAGTTTCGGCTCAATTTGGTAATCTGCTACCATCGACGAGAAGAAAGCTCTGCCCTTTTCCACCAAACCCGCATGAGCACAGCACGATAAAACCCCAACAAATGTCGAGTCGTTGGGGCAAAATACTTGGCTCGTCATTTCATAAAACAAATCTGAGCCAAGTTCGCCTTTGCCATTCAAGGCCAGACCAGAGATCATTGCATTCCAAGAAACCACATTCTTCTTAGGCATCTGGTTGAATATCCTCATTGCCGTATCCAGATTGCCACATTTGCTGTAGAAGTCTACTAGAGCATTGCCTACAGGGATAGAGTTAAGATAGATGCCCGTGTATTCAGCGTAAGAATGAATCCACTTGCCGACGTCAAGAGCTCCCAAACGGGCACATATCGGCAGGACTGTAACTAAGCTTGCCTCATCAGGTTTGACTCCCTCTTGATCCTGCATTTCTCGGAAAAGGGCTAGAGCCTCTCCATCTCGACCACTTTGTGCCAACCCCGAAATCATGATGTTCCATGAAACGACTGTCCTTTCAGTCATGTTCCTAAACAAGTACATCCCTCTGTCCACGTTCCCCCTCTTACAATACCCACGAATCATTAAATTCCATATGATCGCTTCCCTATCAGTCATTTCGTCGAACACCTTATGTGCATCTTCCATTGCTCCACACATTGTGTAGAGCTCCACGACCCCAATCTTCACAGAACTAAAACCGTCGAACCCACGAGCAAAAACCTCCTTCTGAACGCACTGGCCGAGTTTGAGGTCACCATTACTCGAACAGGCTTTCAGCAAAGGCGCGAAAGTGTACTCGTCGGCCCAAATGGCACAGCTTTTCATCCACGAGAACAAGAACAGAGACTCTTCGAAAGGTCCAGAAACAGAGTACCCTTTTATCATGGCGTTGAAGAGAAAGATATTGGGGTTGTGGGTTTGGTCAAAGAGACGATCGGCGTACTGCATCTTGTTGAGCGACCCACAAACGGAGACGAAATGAGATAGAACTTGGTTGCACTGGTCGAGACCATGGCGGACGAAATGAGCGTGGATTTGGCGGAGGGAATTCCATGTCTTGTGGCCGTGGAGAAGGCGCAATACCTTCTTCTCAAAAGAACGGTTCATCGACTTTGGCAATAGTGAGAGAACATCACCTTAGAGCTTTTAAGATTTTGCAACAAAAATTTACCAAAAAAGAAAGGTTTATGTCATAAGATTAAGAATTAAGATCTCTCGAAGGTTTCCCCTTTTCCCTGGCGGGAGTCCGGTATAACCGTAATTTTAAAAATGGTTCTTCCATCAAAAAAATGTTCCAAATGCGAATATGGTATTCCGATAATGATTACATATTTACATTCTGCATAGGATGTGAAGTGCAATTGTTCAATTTGTCCAGAACTCAAACCGGTCTATGCCCGAATCGAACCAAATCTATGCATGGATCAGAATTTCATAACTGAAACGCCAGAAGATATAACTCAAACCGACCTACTCCAGTTTGGTCCGAACCAAATCGTTGTATACCCCTTGTTCTATGTTCTGTTTTTATCCCATCAACCAAAGGAAACGGAAGTAAAGAGGGGCGAACAGTCGTGAAATGGCATCATCAAGATTTACAACGTTGGAAACCATTGAAAGTTTTACAATTTTTCACTGGTAAGGCAATCGGGTGGGCAACAAAAAACTCTTCAGCTATGCTACTCTGCAGAACTAACATATATCTTTGATGAACAGCATTCGTCTGAAGATTTTTACCCAAACAGACTTAATTCTTTCAAGAGGCACTTTGCATCTATTTCTTGGATGTACCAAACCCACCAAATCCCATCATAGCCGCGACATCTGGATCGATATCTTCTGGCTCTTCTGCCACCTTCTCTTTCTGCAACATAGACGAGTGTCAGTGTCAATAGCCAAGGTATACAGGTACGATCACATGTTCTAGTCAACGTTATACTTCATTCTGACCAACCTTTTTCTCCTTCTTTCTCTCTCGTCGCTGTCTCTTCCGTTCTTCCTCCTCTTGCTGCTGTTTCAGGAGTCGTTCATCGAGATCTAAATGGAAACCGACAGTTGAATTCCCACAACTTAGTGTAACTACAAATAGTAAAAAGCAGCTAAACAAGAACTTATATCTTCTTCTTTACCTTGTTCGGAGAAGGTGCTGGGATCCTTCCGTTTCTTGAGCATTTCGAATCGTTCTTGGACCTGGAAATACAAGTAGAACTTCGCTAGTCAGCATTATTTCAGAATCTAAGGACAATAGTGGCAACAGCATATTAGCAATTGTACCTGTTCAAGGGAAGCTCTTTCCACCCGCATCGACATGCCCAAAGCCCTTTGATCTACATGTAAGATATTGCTAATGCAATTAGAACAAAGCACAGTAACAAGCAAATTTAACATGAACTTAATATATCAGTTTCTTGGGTGATGGATGAATTCGTACGTTTCTTTCCATTGATATGGTCCAAATAGTTAGCAGAATCCTTCACTACACACTCACAAACCGAACAGTAGTATCCAGCCTGCAACCGAATACAGAATTCAAATTGTCAAGTGAGAGACGAAGAATATAACAGAGCATCTATCAACCTTAGCCAATAGAGAAGAAGATAGAGATCTGTGGTTCTTTGTTTGTTTTTAACTCAGCGGGCAACATAGAACAATCGATTATTTTCAAACCTTATATCAAGCAATAGACAGTAGTAACAAGAAAAGCTAACTCCGAGGAAACCAACCATATGTAGGTTATATTGGATCCACAACTCATACCCATCCAAAAAGGAGACTTTTAACAATGGGAACGAACAGCACAGAGTTTGTTTGCACCCAATTCCAAAACTATGCACAACTTCAATTCACATGCAGAATCATAAATGTACACAGCGCTATTGTGAAGGACATACCTGCTGGCTTAGAGGTGCGATTGGAGTAACAACCTGCCAGTACAAAAGGTGAACAACGCAAAGAATAAAAAATGAGTGAAAATCAAAGTTGCAAACAAACTTATCCAAATAACACATCTCAGATTAATATGAGCAGCAACCCCAAATCTCAAGCATCACTACAGAACAATCCACTAAATGAGCCTCATCTTAAAGGCAAAGCTACTCATACCCAGGATACCATAACATGTTGCGATCGCAAACGGTTATGCATTTCCAGCAGTAAGGCTACATGAGATTCCGAGCAAAAGACACCTTGAAGCTCTCAACCAATTATCTCGGAGATTATTATGTTCTCAAAACCTACAGGCTACAAGAATGCTTCCTATACAGGAAAGAACTGGCTGCCCACTTTGCATAGTGCAGCTTGCCCAACCAAATCCCAATCAATTCAGCAAAAAATATTTACAGAGTGGGAGAAAGAGTACCAAACCTGAGTCTTCCCCAGTCGAGATTCGAGGTCAACTTGATAATCTCTGTGCTTTAGGGGCTTCCTCTGCACAGGAGGACCTTTGGCTGCAACAGAATCATCACAGTTTCACCAATTAAACAAGGCTGAATTCTTTTTATCACCACAAATTAAGCAAGTAATCAAAGCAAAACCCAACTTACATTTAGACTTCGATCGCCCTTCATCCTCCTGAAACAACAAGAACAAGGCAGCAAAATCAGGTCGCGAGCACAAATTGACACCCAGAAAGACGGGGAAAAGAGTGGAAGCTCTAGGGAACAAATAATACCTGCTTTTCCCGCTCGCGAGCTCGTTCTAAGTACTCTTCTCGATCGAACTTCTTCCTGAACGTGTTGTCGACTCCAGCTGGCTGCGATTCAAAAGGAAGACATGAGAAGCATTGCTACCAAAAAAAGAAAAGATACAGGAGCAAACTTTTTCGCGCGAATTGAAAACTTACAGCAGCCATTGCAGGGAATTGCGAGCTGGAATCTCAGAGCGGGAAACAACCCAGATGAATGAATTCGATTTCGGGACCGGGAATTAGATTTCTAAACCCTAGAAAGAGACTGGTTTCCACTGGCTTCTCCAAATTCAGACGTGTAGTCGTGTAGAAGCAGCAGTTGATGAAAAAAGAAATTAATAAATAGTTACAATAAATATGTTCATCTGGTATTGTAGACAACAACATGGGTGTTTGGTCTAGTGGTATGATTCTCGCTTCGGGTGCGAGAGGTCGTGAGTTCGATTCTCGCAACACCCCATCAATTTTTTCATATTTCCTCATTCAGTACCTAATTTTTTCCCATTTATGCAAAATACTCCTTCAATTTAATGCCCAAATATTTCGCTTGGGACAAATTCATCCAAACGGCCACCACCATGCAGTTCATGCAACGTTCCTGAGCCTATTTTACGATTTTGCTTGAAATCGGTATATGCTTCGGATCAATCCCTCACTGCAAAAATCATTACTCACTGCAAAAATCATTACTGAGAGTGAGTGATAACTGATACCACTAGCTAGCTTTCAAAAGGGTACATTTATAAAATCTTTCGAACAAGCCAAAAACCAGAATATCAAGCAGTAGTCTAGTTCCCGTGTGTAACTGCCAACCATATCGCCATTTTCCCAAGCTGGAGGAGAAGAAATTTAAGCAGAACCCATCAGGTAAAGTTGGGGACTTTTTGGCTGGCAAGAAACAGAGGATACGAGAAAGAAAAAAATAGAGCGATGTTGAGCTCCCAAACCCTTCGACTTCTCGCTTTCGCAGCCTTCCTTTTCGCCGCCGCCGTGGCGGCAGACGGCGTCGTAGACCTCAGCGAGGACAGTTTCGAGAAAGAGGTCGGCAAAGATCGCGGCGCCCTCGTCGAATTCTACGCTCCTTGGTAATTAAAATCTGTTCTCTTCACTTTCTCTGCTGGGAAATCTGCAATTTAGGGTTTGAACCAACCAACTCTGAGCTGGTTACTACTGAAACAAATGGAGATTAGCTGCAGAGATTCTGGGGTTCTGGGTTCTAAGGAATCTAGATGTTTAATCATGTTCAGGATCGTGATTCAATCACTATGATTGGAAGGGGGAGTCTATCATTGATTTGCAATGCACAAAAAGCTTTGTGGCTCAGCTTATGCAGAGTGAATGATTGGCTGCTTCGTTGCTATAGGTGTGGGTTCTGTAAAAAGCTTGCTCCGGAGTATGAGAAGCTTGGTGCAAGCTTCAAGAAGTCCAAATCGGTGCTGATTGCAAAGGTTCATATATACTAATCAGCTTTTGATTTCTCTTGTGGGGTTTGTTTACCTTTCTATCGTCTTTAGGGGTTCTTGTCTCTATAATTGTAGGTGGATTGTGATACACATAAGAGCCTATGTACCAAATTCGGTGTTTCTGGATATCCAGCACTTAAATGGTTCCCAAAAGGCTCCTTGGACCCTAAAAAGTATGCAATTGAACAAAAGTTTTCATGTTTCGTTGACATTTTTTCATGTATTTTACCGCATTTTAAATGGTGCTGCTAAACCCAAATGGATTCTTGATGATGATGTGCAGGTATGATGGTGACCGTACTGCAGAAGCCCTGGCTGAGTTTGTTAATTCTCAAGGAGGTAACTTCGGACATCACTCGTCGAAAAGGGGAAAACTCCTAAATTGTTTTTGTTCTGGCTATAGATAGAAGCCTTCTATTTATGCTTCTTCTCGCAATGGGTAGGAACCAATGTGAAGATAGCTGCAGTACCATCCAACGTGGTGGTATTAACACCAGAAAACTTCGCTCAAGTTGTATTGGATGAGACTAAAGATGTATTGGTTGAATTCTATGCGCCATGGTTAGTGATTATTCAATAATTGATTCGCGACGTAGCATCTGAGATACATGCATTTTTGGAATCACCGAGTTAGAAACCCTTATCCACTACTACTTTCTTGTAATCTTTCCTTGCAGGTGTGGTCACTGTAAAGAACTTGCTCCTGTTAGTACAATCAACACCTTTGTATTTCCTTCTGTTTCTGCAGATTTTCTAAATATGCTTACCCTTATGAAAGTTTCCATCTTTCTTCTATTCTGTGTGGTTCTATAGACATATGAGAAACTTGCCACCGCATTCAAATTGGATGAAGATGTTCTGATTGCTAATCTTGATGCAGATAAGTACACGGATTTGGCTGAAAAGTGAGTCTTTTTTGTAACACATTTCGAATAGCAATGGAACAGGGGAGTTGCTAACATGTAACTAGGAATGTGGAACCAATGTAGGTATGGAGTGAGTGGTTTCCCCACCCTGAAATTCTTCCCCAAGAGCAACAAAGATGGTGAGGCCTATGGCGGCGGCAGAGCATTGGATGACTTCGTGAGCTTCATCAATGACCAATGTGGAACCAGCCGTGATGGCAATGGAAAACTTGCTCCCAATGTTTGTTTGTTTGTTCAAACTGCGCTAGCAAAAGACTTTCAACAGACAATATGTATTCCCCTAGGCCATACCTGATCCTTATTTTGCACTGCACTACACTGCAGGGTGGCATTGTGTCGTCTCTAGAGAATTTAGTGAAGGAGTTTGTTGCTGGTGGAGACGACGAGAGGAAGGCGGTGCTTGCAAGAATGGAAGAAGAAGTTGGAAAGCTCAAAGGAAACCATGCAAAGTCTGCATCTTTATTGTCATAGCTATTAGTTAACTGGTTCACCATGTAATCTAGTTCATCTAACAAGTTCAACTTGATCTTCATTGCTTGGTTTTCCACTTCAGATATGGTGAGATTTATGTGAAAGCTGCGAGGAGCTGTATGCAGAAGGGCTCTGATTACCCAAAGAATGAAATTCAGCGGCTGGAACGCTTGCTTGAGAAGGTACGGAACCTTATGATGCTTTCTTTCATTTCTCTATTTCATCACAGCAATTTCATCCAAACCAACCTCTTGCTTTCCCATATGAACTGATGATAACCTTAACCTTATTCTCTTGTTTTGTGGCAGTCAATAAGTGAAGTAAAGGCAGACCAATTCACTCTGAAGAAGAACATCCTGTCAACCTTTGTCTAATTCCTGGGACTGATTTGTTTTAGCTGAGCTGAGTCCTTGGAAGTGAGTGGGGAGACAATTTCAATCAAGAAGGTGAAGTCTCAACCCCTTGGAGTTTTTTGTCTTTGAATTATTGGTTGTTCAACTTCAACAGTACCCCTTTGGGAGCAATCTAAATCTACTATTCCAAGGGACTTTGATTCCCCCAACCTGTGCTTGGAGCCAAAGTTTAAGTGGGGAAAACACTCTTTCCCTTTTTCTCCAGATGGGATTGGTTTTAACCTTTCCCTCTGTTTGATCTTCTCCCTTGTTCTTAAGGTATTGTGAACTGCTCTGATGTAGATGGAAAACAATTGACAGAAAGAAATGCTCTGTTGACCGTTAGCCATACAATAAATTTCCATTTGTCATATTTAGCTCTGCTTCTTTGTCTCTGAACCATTGTTTTCCACTTTCTTTTCCACTTTCTCACCCAAAAAAAAAAATTGTTTACTCTTTACTTTTTTGTGTGTTCTCTATGAAAGAGAAAGTGAACCCCCTAAGAAGTTGTACCTTTTCACACAATGATGGGAGTGCAACCCTCTAATCAAACATTACATCTAGGGGTGTCGGGTCGGGTTCGGTTACCCGAACTGAAACCCGTAAAACCTCGAAACCAAAAATCACTAAAAACCGAATCCGATAAGGACTTGCGGGTTCCGGTTAGAACTCAGCCCGTATTCTTAGGAGTTCGTACCCGAAACCCGAAAATTCCTTATCGGGTTCGGGTTCGGTTAAAGAAAAATGAAACCCGAAAATCCGAACTCCTAAGAATACGGGCTGAGTTCTATTCATTGGAGGTTTTTAGCCGAAACTGAAAAACCCGATAAGCAAAACCGAACCCGAAACCGAAAAGCCCGAAACCCGAAACAAACCTGAACCCGAAAAACCAAAAATGTATATAATCGGGTCGGTTTCGAGTAAACCCGAATGGACACCCCTAATTACATCTCGATGCTTTGAGCTATGGGGAGAAGTCTAAATTGATACCCTTCGAATAGTACTCTTCACAATAATGGGGTATATTAATACCGTCGATTCATCCTAAATATTCGAGTTATTAGAAGAGGACCTTCCAATCCAACTCTTTTATGTGGAGCAAGAAGAGCCATGGGAATGAATGAGTCTCATCTGGATGATCTTTCATGTGGAGCAAGAAGAGCCATGGCAATGAATAACTCTCATTTGGATTTCCACTCATTTGGATTTCCATCAAATAACTCCACAAGATAACTTAAATTCTTAGACTTGTGCATGCCCTATGGGTCAATGCCCATCCACCAATAATTCATCAAGTCCTTTTTTATTCCAATTAAAATTCAGCAATTCATTTTCCTTCTGAGGTAGATGGGCAGTAGTAGGGGGCCATTATGTTATGTTCTTTCACTCGGCTGATATTTCCATCCCACAATTGAGAAACATTCCAACATTTTATCATGAACAAATTCTAACTCTTTATTAATGGTGATTGCCATGTTCTAACTACTAACATGATGATAGTTGTCCAATAATATAAGAAGAAAAAAACAAGAATGGTCTGGGAGGTGTCCAAATAGGTGTATTAAGAACGTGCATTGTTCTCCTTCTCAATTGTACTTGCAAGTAAAAGTCACGTATGAAAATGTAACTATGTAAGGACTCAATTTTTCATTAGTGTTCTATTGTTCTCTAATACTTTATCTTTGGTATTACATCTTTTCTCTACAGTTAAGATCAATACTAAAATATGATGATGGATGATCTATACTAACTAGTTATTTGATTTCACGTAGCACAATTGACTAGAATGAGTTTTTTATTTTATTTTATGATTTTCTCATGAATTTATCTGCGATTGTGACTCTGAACTGTCAACGAGCATTATTGAACCAATCATCTCTGGAAGATTTACATTTTAAGAGGTGGTAAACGACCATACATGATTCGGAATCTCTAGGGATATATCTAGCATCTAAATGGCTGCCAATAATTGTGAGGTACCTATTGAAATTGTGTGTTTATTGGAGAACAATGTACATTCTTGTTAATGTTGAGTGTAGTTACTTTGAGTTTTGAGCCAATAAGGAACAAAAAGGAATGAGATGGAAGTGTCCATCCATAAACAACCAAATGCTTTTCCCTTGTGTAGGCATTGTGGAGGGCAAAGATCATCAAGTTGTTAAAAACTATGGAATCAAGAAAGTGGTTTTGATTGTGGCAACTGGCAATGATGGAAAGAAATCAAGGAAAAGGGCAAGAGGGAAGAAAAGGCCCAATGAGAAGAATCCAAAAAACACTCTCCCTACTCTTTTTTGGGTGCTTAGGCTAGAGAGTTCTACTATAATGTTTTTGAACATTAAAACCCACAAACATTCTTGTCTTGCTCTATATCTCTACTTTTCCCCCCTTCCCGTCTCTTGTGTCAATGTCAAATGTCCAATTACAATTTCATGATCTCACTCCTTTATGTCAATCAATATCTAGGAGACAAAACATAACCCACCAATGTCCACATTAGGATGTTTATTATGACTTTAAAAAACTCCCCTCTTTTGGCGGATCAAACAATTCTCATTGGCATTGGTGGGACTCAACTCAATTAGCCACACCCTTTGGTTAATAGAAATTAATAGATGGGGCTATGGATTAGGATCTCTTTTGTGGTCAAGAAAGCAAAGTAGGTCACATCAACCCAATTATTCTAATCTATCTTTTATTTAATTATGGTGAAGTTGTATGATTTTGAAGTTCTTCTCTACATTGAAACTTCGAAGTTGTAGAGAAAGTTGAAGATCTTAACTATATTAGGGGAATCTCAAGAGTAAACTATTCATAAACGCAGTACTATAAATTGTGGTACGAAAGTTGTAGAATAACATAATCAAAAACCCCTCAAACTTGTTCTTAACAATCCAAAATAAGATGAGAAGCTCATGTGATATACTAGTTAGACTACTACACCCCTATAGTAAGGTTAAGGGTTTACATATTTCCCTTCCCTTTCACCCTAAAAGTAATCATTCACATTCCTCAGTATCACTAGATAAATTCATGATAGAAAGACATGGAGTCCTCCAAGGTTGGTCCAGCAAAGAAACAAGCAGCCAAAAACCCAAAACGCAAGTCCCTTTGCTGAAATTTCCAGCAGGGTAGTGAATGCAGTGGGAGAATGGAGCCATGGAGATGAGGGGCTCACTTCCACCTAACATATCAGGATTCTGTCTCCTCCAGCCATGTGGTACTTATTGTTGTTGTTGTTATCCTTTTCCCCTTTCCAATAATACAGTTCAACATCCACACACACCAGCTGTTGACATCTCTCTAGACCTCACAACAACCCATTTGCATAATCATTCACTAATCATCCCCAGAAGCTGAGATTTAGTAGGTGGGTTTAGCATGAAGAAAGGAATTATCCACTAATATTGCTCTCCCATGGCTTCCAAACCAAACCCATATGGGAGAAACCGCAGACAACAAACGATCTGATTCTGATTTTGTTCTGTATTTTCAATCTTGATCCTATACTGAGTTGGTCTGAGAGAAAGAGGTATGGCTAGCCTCATGATCGACTTGCATAAAACAAATATCTTCTAAAGGTGGTAAAAGAAGGACAACAACGAGATCAGAATCTAAAGAAAATCTATACGAATATAATCAAAAAGTTGTTTCTGTTCTTGACTCATGAATGAATCGACCCATCATCATCTTCTTCTTCACATCGTTTTCAGATTACCTTCGAAGAAAGTTGAATCAGAGATGGCTTAAGCAATCATCAATGGTGTACCAAAAGAACCGGACTGGTAGTGGGTTTTAGCAGCAAAAGAAAAAGATCTACTAATAATCCTTCTTTCTCATGGCTTAATACCAACCCATATGAGAGAAAGCACAGAATATTACATGAGAGAACTGATCCAAAAAGAAAGAAACAAGAGATAAGAGATCTAGCCAATCTCATCACCTTACATACATAAACAACAGCAATATCTTCTTCTAAACCAAAATCTATACAAATATTAGTCAATAATAATAATAGTAATCTGAATCCTTGACTCGTGAAAATGAATCAAACCCATCATCTTCTTCTTCATCATTATCATGATTTTTCTTTTACCTGGAAGAGACTGGATTCAGAGCTCTGGCGAATCCATTCATGGCTCCATACCCTTTTGAGCTGAACCCTAGGCAACCAAGCAAGCCTTGCCTGTACGGCAAGAATGTCCTCTTCCTCATCTCCTCAGCTTGAGCTCTGCTCGCTTTGTAATGCAGCTCGTGCGGTGAAGCTGCTGGCACTCTCTTCTTCCCCAATCCATTCACTGGCTTCTTCCCACTTCCGCCATTGTTATTATTACTTCCCCCAACTTTCTCTGAAGAACCTTCATTACTAATTCCTTTCTCTCTGCCACGGTAAGAAGAAGAAGAAGAGTTGCTTCTGCTATTCCCCTTTTTTTCCTTCGATGGTGAGAAGGAAATGTTGGACCAGAACTTGGTATTGCTCCTTCCTTCACTCTTACTCCTGTAGAGAAACTCCTTGAGGAAAACCCATCTCTTCGAATTCCTACCAGCTGATGAAGATCTCGATGTCGAAGAAGAAGACGCCGACATCGAGTTCGGCTCGTCTACTGCGGAATCCATGGCGGCGGCGGCCTCTTCTCCTTCCTCCTCCCCTTCCCCTGTTTTCTTCTTTCTCGTTTCACCCTCTCCGCCGCCGTCGTCGTCGGCGAACTCGAACGACGAGGATCGGAGCGGCGACATAGATCTGGTTCTCCGCCGGAGAGATTTGTTCCGGAGTCTCAGATCTCGCCCTCTGCTCTCGCCGTGAAATCCTTTCTTATTACCGCCGAGCTCTGCCTCTTCTCCTTCTTCTTCACCCTCCTCGTCGAGATCCAGTAACGGCGCGAGGACTTGGGGCTTCTCGAGGTGAGTGGAGAGCTTCATGGGCCGGATCTGGCCGTTCAAGAACAGCTCGTCGGCCGAGCTCATGGATCCGGTGTGACCGGGCCCAACAGATCCGAATCTCGCCGAGAATTCGAACTCGCACCCCATCTGCGCCACGCTCCTGCCACCGCCGCCGTCGAAATCGTCGTCGTCGTCGTACGAGGAGCGGCGGTGAGCTGCCGCGGAAGTGATGGCAAAGTGCATTGGGCTCGCGGGACAGCTGTAGAAGAAGCCGCCTCCGCCATTGCGGCCGGGGCTGGAGGGAGCGCTGACGAAGGGGGTGGAGCAGGTGCTGTCGAAGTCTTCAGGGTAGAAGAGTTCGGAGTCCGGGTCGGGTTCCGGCGATGCGGGTCGGCCATTGATGGCGCTGGCCTCCATTTGTGTGTTGGGAGAGAGAGAGAGAGGATTGTGTTGTGTGTGATGAACTACCAGTGAGGGAGTGTGGGCAGTGCCAAAAGAATAATGGGAACTGCTGCTGTTTCTTCACTAGGTCTAGTTGGTTACTGGTATAAATATTGCTGGACATTTTTTAATTATTTAATAATGTTTTCGTTCGTGTTTATTTTTGTTTATTTATATTTTGCATTATTTTATTTGAAGGGAGTGTGTGAGTGCTTTTCCCAGATTGCCCCTGGAAGTTGTGGATTATTTCCGGGGATTATCCCGTTGGGTGATGGCGGGAGCGGGAATTTCCCGTTTCTAGTGCCTATGACAAACAAGGACACCACAGACACCGTGACAAAATAATCCATCTCACTCTTCATCTCATTTCCAAGCTTGGTTTTCTACTTTTTAAGATAAAAACAAATCCTAAAAATATGTTTGGTCTATTTTTATCAGTTATTGTAGCAACACGGGGTGATAATTAGCTAAAACCATTGAAGCTACTTTCAATAAGTTATTTGTTCGGTTAGTAATGCTCGTGATTAGGGGTGTTGAAACGAATTGGTTATCGTGGTAATCATATTAATCGGTAGCATTCGGTTAATTTGGTTTGGTTAATTTGGATAATTGGTTTGGTTTTGTTAAACAATTTAGCTTATTTGGTTTAGGTGGTTTGGTTTGGTTACAATACTGCTAACCAATGAAATCAATTAACCAATTAATGATACACCTAGTATACAAAATTATTTATCTTCTATGCAACCAACCAAACCAAACTTTCGTGATTCCCTACTGTATTTTCACATTCACAACAAACCAAAACATTATGGGTCAAAAATTAAATGGGTCTATCTATTTACTAAACCAAAACATTTTGGACAACTACTAGACTTTAGGATTACGTACAATACCATTACTGTCACCTCAAACTATGTATAGTTTATGGTGGAGACGAGTGGCGGTTAACTGACGGTGGCGGCGATGCCACAGGAGAGTTTGGTGGTGGTTCCGTGAAGGGTGAAGAGGGAGACGAGTGGTCTGCCGGACAAGACGTTCTTGTGGACGGAACCGATTCCATTGATGGTGGAGACGAGATGCATTTCTACACTTATTTCTCTCCCCGATTGGAGTTTCTGACCGGCCGTGACGTTGGGGCCATCGTAAATACATGTCTATGACGGAAGATTTCGTGTCCAAGCGTGACATCTCGTCGGCGACCAGAACAGGAGCTCGTCCATGGTCGTCGCCGGCGACAAGTCGCAGGCTTGGTTAGACTTCGGAGTCACCGACGACGGCTCGGCAGTGTATTGGTTCAGGGAAGTTAAAAGATTTACGTTACTGTTGTTCTTTTTATTAATTTAGCAATTACTTAGTTTTTTTGGTAATAGGATTTACTTTTTTTTTTGCATTTACTATTTTCTTAGTTTAGGGAAGTTGGAAGGTTTTCGTGGTTTCTTAATTTAGTATTTGATTAGATTTGATGGTTTAGTTTCTAGGAAGTTATTAGATTCTCGGTACAGTTGTTAAATTTCCCAATCCTTTTAATGGACTTTAATTATTCGAAAAATCCGCCTTTTGCTAGTTCAAAAGTTTCCGCTCATTTTCCTAAAATTGATTATGATAGTTCCTTCAATTTCGTCTGTTTTATATTATTGCTTTTCTTTAACTATACTTAAAAAAAAATTAGTTTGACATAGTTAGGGGTGGTAGTCGGTCGGTTTCGGTTTAACCGAAAACCGAAAACCCGGTTATCGGTTAAACCGAACGACCCTCTGTAGCCACCGACCACCAACCGTGAGAGAGGTCCGGTTAGCCGGCCAACCGACCGACCAGTTTCGGTTTTAGGCTCGGTTAGCCGGCCAACCGAAAAAAATACCTTTTCTACAAAAAAAAAAAAAAAATTAAAAATACATAAAATCTGCACCACACCCACCAAACCTTATCTCCTCTCTCTTCTTCCTTCGTTCCAGACCCTTCCGCCTTCTTCTCCCCTTCCCTCCTCTCTTCCCCTCTCCCCACCAACTCCTTCTTCCAGAACTTCACCCTCAACAATGGCGACAACCCGGAGTACATTCACTCTCACCTCGTCAAATCCTCCGGCTCCGCCGTCTCCCTCTGCTACCCTTCCCTCGCCCACACCTCCGATTCCGTTTCCCAGATCTTCACCCCGGATCTCACCCTCAAACCCGACCTGAATTCCTCCTCCGCCGCGACCCATCTCATCACTTCCTACAACGACCTCAGCGTCACTCTCGATTTCCCCTCTTCCAATCTCCGGTTCTTCCTCGTCCGGGGAAGCCCATACGTCACTTGCTCTGTCGTCACCGCCGGTAAAACCTCGATTTCACTCTCCACAGTCCACTCCGTCGTTTCCTGCTGCTCCAACGATTCACTCGACGAGGGTGGTTTTGTGGCTGGTGGAGGGGAGTCGGGAGATGAGATGAGAGGCAACGGGGTGGTCTTGCGCCGCTGCGCGAGAAGGGGGAAGGGGGAAGTTAGGGGTGGCAGTCGGCAAGGGAACCTGGGAGGAGGATTGGAGGGAGGCGGAGTCGACGACGACTGGAGGGCTGAGAAGAAGGTGATGGAGGCGGCTGGGGATTTGGGGGATGGGGGCTGCTAGGGTTGGGGATTTGGGGATGGGGTGTTTTATTTAGGCATCGTTTCGGTTAGCCGGTTAGCGTCGGTTAGCCGGTTTAACCGGTATCGGTTTTTCGGCTAACCGCCTAACTACGGAGTGCCTCCGACAACCGACCGTGGCCAGTTATATTCGGTTTTCGGTTAGACTCTAACCGGCGGTTAACGGTTAGACCGGCCGGTTAGCCGCTAACCGGCAACCGAAATGACAGCCCTAGACATAGTTTTGGATTCGGAGTATCCGACTAAGCCTTAATGGCTTGTTTAAGTCAATTTGGTGGAGCTTAGTTGTCCTACAGTGGGGACGCTTGTGTGTGTGTGTGTGTGTGTGTTTTTTTTTTTTTTGTAGGGGCATGCAGAAGAGCTCTCGATATCGGAGAGACTTCCTCAGACAGGTGACTTGGCTCATGATCGGGATGAAACTATCTTGCAGGATGCTCAGAGCTTGGCTTTTCTCTTTAGTTGGGTTTCTTACTGTTTTGTTCTCCGCCGACTCAATAGGGTTGCCCATCATGTGGCATAAAAGGCCCTCTCATCGGGAGTTCGACTATTGGTCGACTCCCGCGCTCTTTTTATTTTCTCTGTTTGACTGAATTTATAACAACTGACTTTGCGGGGGGGAAAACTATGTATAGTTTAAGTGTTTTGTAGGAGAGTTTTAACTTCTTAATGAGTGGTATTTGTATGTATTTAATATTTATGTTAAGGGTTTGTTGTAAGTTAACTATATTAGGTGCAGAGATGATGAATAATGTATTAACTCGAATGATGATGATAATCATGGATGGTTTGTCGTATTATTATTGCTTATATATAATGATAGTTTATGATAGTTACAACATATGGTTATGTTTAATTCATTAACATGATAATTGTTTTTATTTAATGTTATATTATTTTGTTAATCCGATTATCCGATTAACTAAACCAATTAAACTTTGGTTTGGTTAATTTGGTTTTCGTGTTAATTTGGACGGTTTGGTTAAGATATTTTATTCCATAGTTAATAAAATTTAGGCTTAATTGGTTTGGTTATTACCACGTTAACCATTTGAACACCCCTACTCGTGAGACACCTCAATTCAGTGGTTTGTGGAGCTCAACTCGTTAGTTGGCTCGGTTTTAGCTATTACGGTGTGGCTTACGAGCCATCTCAACTAGCATCTTATGAGCGAACCGATTAATAGTTTATCATTGACTTATTGATAATTGATAGGTTATTAGATTATATATCTCATCACATACGATGTTTAAGAATTTGAGCAAGTGATCAAATATGTCTCGTTTATAATCTAAAAGAGAAACTATGTATCATACATTGCTCACATACTAGTTACTATAAATAACATGATATGAACAATATGTTCAGACTAGCATACGTCATGTACTGCTAGTGAGATATCTGTATCCAGACCATGAATTAAATCGAGTTTGGGGTATGATACTATACCCTAACCTCTAATGGATAAACCCCAGACACCGATTTTCTAAACCCCAACCCAAAGTTTGATTTAATGAAAAACAAAAATTGACCGTTGAGATCGGCTGGAGCTCATCTAAGTACATCTAACGACTAGGACCACCTGACATATAGTATACGCCTGACGTACCCCAGTCATTACCATGAGGAATAAAAAAGTATGAACTAAATAATATTATAATTGAGCTTGAGCTTATCCTGCAAGCTAATCGATAAGTTGAACTCAAATAGAGTTTGAGAGCTCATTAATCAGTCGAGTTTGAGTTAAACACAAGCCAATAATTTTGAAACAAATCAAACGCGATTTTGACCTATTTATCAACAAGGCAAGTTCAAATTATTTAAAAACTCGATTCGATTCATTTACTGTCCAAATTTTTGATAAGCGGTTAAGAAATTGAACACATAAACAACAAACAACAATAACAATAGAGAAAGAGAAAGAGAGGAGGAGCAAAAGAGAGAGAGGCAAATGACATGCAGGGAATGGGGAGAAGAGTAGGGATCATGTACGGGGAATGGGGATAATAAATTAAAGAGGGCGGTGTTGATTTTTTAATTATATCATGTGTCAAGTACTAAATACTTTTATTATTTGATTTTTGTAGAGCATTTCATTAGTTGATTTGATGTGATAGTTAGGATATTTTTAAGTTTTGAGGATTACTATTTGCCGCCCGTCTCTTTATTATTTGCCGTTCGTAAATTAAACTAAAATGACATTTTTACCCTTTGTTCATTTTTTATAAAACAAACCCCGCCACTCCTGCTGTTGTCGGCGCCAGTCCATCACCGCCGCCAAATCGCCGGCGTCGCCACCACCGCCAGATCACCACTGCGGCCAGAACCAAATCATCACAGCCGGCGGGAGGACCCCGTC